AACTAGCTTTAAATTACTATAGAATTTTTATAAAAAGCTTTTTTATAGTTATACTTACACTTAAACTTTACTTTAAGCTTTAAGTAACACTTAATAAATATATTAAGCTAGTTTATGCTAATATAGCTTATATTATGCTTAGCATGTAAAGAATTAGCTATATTAGCTATAGCTGCTAGCTAGAGGGGAAATCCTTATACATCTAGCTTAAGTATATGCTAAATAATTACCTACTTTTTATTATTATCTAGCTTTTATAAGTTAGCTATATAATTAGCTTAGAAAAGTTATCTAGTGTGTTAGTTACTTATTATTTTTTAAAAGACTTTATAGATAGCTGCAGCGCGTTACTTAAAAAGTGTTATGTTTTATTTAAAAGCCTAAAGTGTAAGCTACATTTAACATTCCTTTAACATGTCTAAGTAGTGTTATTAGGAATGCATTAGTATAGAAAGAGTAGTGTAGTAGGGTTTTAGTAAAAGTAAGCAACTTAGGTGTGTAAGCAACTCGCCTATAAAGTACGTTATATTAAACCTAGCAACCTTATATATAATTTTTTAAATATAATTACTAACTATAGCTTAAGAAAGCTGTTTATAGCTTATTAAAAAAGCTAAGCTTAAAATTTTTAAAAAATAGATTATACAGCTTAGTAAGTATAAAAAGGTATAAAAAGGTATATTTAGTAAAGTAAAATAAAAAGGCATAGTATTAAGGCTTTATATATAGCTACTAAAGTATAGATAGTATTTTAGTTATCTAAGAAACCCTATAGTAGTAATTATACTAAACTAGCTTTACTTAGTTAATAGCGCTTTAGAATCTATTACAAGACTAAGGAAAACACTTATATATATATATACAAAGAATACAAAGAAAGAATTAGAATTAGATGTAAGTATATTATACATAAGGGTTTTTTAATTAGTTATAAATAAAATTCTATTTCTATTTATAGTATTAGTTATACTAAAATATTTTATCTAGCTTAGAAATAGTTTATATTATAGATACTATAAGACTACTAGTTCTTATAAGAGTTATAATGTACTATAGAGCTAAAAGCAGCCTGTACTAGGGTTCTTATTAAAGAAAAGGCTAGAAGCGACTAGCACTAGATTAGAATTGCTTAATTATTTGTTTCTAGCCTTAGTCTCTTTGTTTAACCCTGTCTATTTAATGCTCTTCCGCTTCCTTCTTAGTTAGACAACAATTCGTCTCTGTAAGAACGAAGCTCTGTACCACTGCGCTATTACAACTAAAAGGTGCGAATAATCAACTAACAGTTGATTTGCGTACAGAATAGTATATATACCTGTCGCGCGTAAGGACCGTTGTACAAGCCGCTTCCGGTCTTACAATACATTATCATCCTTTGTAAGAACTAGCCTTGCAGCCTTACAGTCTCTCTCTTATATATAAATATACGCTTTATCACTTAACTATTAACTTCTAATGCCTGTTACTATTGCTAGCTTTATAGATACTAAATAAAAGTTTTTATACTAAATCTTTTTTATTTTCTATAACATACTTTACAGGCAAGTTGCTTACACACCTAAGTTGCTTACTTTTGCTAAGACCCTACTAAACTACCTTTTCTACACTAATGTATTCTCTATAACACTACTTAAACATGCTAAAAGAATGTTAAATACAGCTTATACTTTAAGCTTTTAAATAAGACATAAAACTTTTAAAGAAATATACTATAGCTATGTGCAAAGTTTTATAAAAAATAATAAATAACTATAGCACTAGATAACATTTATAAGCTAATTTTATAGCTAAATTATAAAGGCTAAGTAATAAAAAGAAGTAGGTAATTATTAAGACTATACTTAAGTAATATACGCAAGGAATTTCCTTTTAGATAACATTTATAGCTAATATAGCTAATTCTTTATGTGCTAAGCATAATTTAGGCTATATTTACATAAACTAGCCTAGTATGTTTATAAAGTGTTATTTAAAGCTTAAAGTAAAGTTTTAAGTGTAAGTATAGTTAAGAAATATTTAGCTAATTATAAAGCCTGTTTTACTAAAGTTATATATGTTATTATTCTAAATGCTATACTTAGCTTTAATATTCTTTATAAGGCTAAACTTACTCTAAATTACTCTAAGACTTTTATAAAAAGCTTTTTTATAGTTATACTTACACTTAAATATTACTTTAAGCTTTAAATAACACTTTATAAACATACTAGGCTAGTTTATATAAACATAGCCTAGATTATGCTTAGCGCGTAAAGAATTAGCTATATTAGCTATAAATGCTATCTAAGAGGAAATTTCTTACGCATATAGCTTAAGTATAGTCTTAATAATTACCTACTTTTTTTTATTACTTAGCCTTTATAATTTAGCTGTAGAATTAGCTTGTAAATGTTATCTAGTGCTATAGTTATTTATTATTTTTTATAAAACTTTATATATAGCTATAGCACATTTCTTTAAGAGTTTTATGTCTTATTTAAAAGCTTAGAGCATAAGCTATATCTAACATTCTTTTAGCACGTCTAAGTAGTGTTATAGAGAATACATTAGTATAGAAAGAGTAGTTTAGTAGGGTCTTAGTAAAAGTAAGCAACTTAGGTGTGTAAGCAACTCGCCCGTGAAGTACGTTAGAGTGTGTAAGAATATAGCTAAATACTCTACTTTAAAAAGACAAAGCCTCTACTTATACACAATATGCCTAGTAAAGAATATACAATACTAACTAAGTTTAAAAACCACTTTAGTGCGTAAACTTACTAAATCTAAATGTATTTAAGTTATCCTAGTATTATATAAAGTAGGAAATAACTAAGAAAGAAGCTTTATAAAGCTGTGCAGAAGTAATAAAAGCTTAGAAAAGATGCTAGAAGAGAGAGCTTAGTTAGAGGCGTATTCAGGCTTAGATTAAGCATATGCCTAGACATGTACAGGAGGTTATTAGGCTTAAAGATAGTAATGAGTACAAAGAGGGAAGAGATTATACCTAGAGAACTTATTAGCCTAATTTAAATTGTGGCTTTTTTAGTGCCTTAGCGTGGGCAAAGACTTTTGCAAGGCGTCTCTGTAGGCCTGTTAGTATTGTTTTCATGAGCGAAAATAAAGTGGAGGGAGAGAAATATTATATAGAGCTAGGCCTATTAAAGTTTGCAAAGGAGTGGCACTAGAGAAATAATCCAATTGTGAAACTTTGGGCTCTCCAAAGAATTCAACCAGGAAGGATATGAAGGGAAGTTGCTGCTACCTGATGGCGTACATTGCACTCCACAAATCGGAGGTTGGTGTTCAGAGTGTAGGGAGGGGTTTAACTCAGGAATCCAAGCATAGCATAGAAGACTAGAAGACGTCTATCACAACAATTGCTTTATTACAGTCGACTAGAGACTCCCACGAAGCGAAGTAAATGTCGTGTTTGCAACCCCAGAGTGAAAGACTCTGGAATCACAGACATCGCAGTGTCTTTCCGTCCGCTCAACCCGCATCAGCAAACAGCTAACCCCTCATCCGCAGAGGTTGGTCAGGCTGTGTATTCAACTTTTCGTGGGCCCGGGTACTGATGTCGATGTCTTGTTCTGATCTTGATCGTGGAAGAAACCCTGCTCGTATCTCGCAAAGGCACTCGGCGAGGTTTGACCAAATTACCATGCGCTGGTGGATATCGGGCAGGTATGCAACCCTCTAAGCGTACGCAACCGGGAGCTCTTCACCCAAATGGCAAAAGGACGGAGATGGATGGATCGAGGTAACATCCGGCAAGCTCTTCTCCATGTCGCTCGCTTCGTTGTCTGCCCCTAGGGTCACTAGGAACGACCTATCTAGACATCGAGTGCTAACTGCTTTGTTAAGGGCGTATGGAGCTTCCAAATCATGCCGTGTCCTCTGGTGATTCAGGTAGGCAGTAGGGGGGCATTACGAGGACTTTTATTCTCTTGCCCTCTCGTGCATGCTAGTAAGGTCTTGGTTGTTAAGTTCAAGTATCCAACGTATTTCGGGCTAGCTACCACGGCCCACATAAATTTCGTACTCACTGCTGATATTAAGCAGGTGGTTGTTAGAATAAACATATCGGACCTTGGCGCCCTAGCTTTAGTGAAATTGATTGAGATGTCACTGACCGTGAAGAACGAAATAGAGACCGTGTTGTCGCTTCTCACTAGCATTGCAAATGATCCATCTAACCCGCATCAGCGAAAGTGGGATGATACGACGCCATTTTCATTAACACATCCGAGGAAGACGGTGTTTGGTCGACTATCGATGAATTGCACCCCTAATTAGAGATGAGCTTTGCTTCACATTCAGCCCCGAGCGTACCAAGCTGTCAAGATATTCTCCAAGAAAGTCTAGAATAATCAGCGGGTGCGGAAAATCATCCCTTCTGAGAAGGCATGAGCTGATTTAGAGGTGATAATTGAGAGCGATAGCTACCACTGTAGCCGTGAAGGTATAGTTGCACTATCTTCGAACTTGGGGTAGGCCTAGTCGGCCTTGAAACATTGGCCGAAGCCTCTTTATTCTGGTAAATGCGGATAGCAAAACTGATCGACTGTACGCTTTGATTTACTTAATATAATTAAGACATGCACAAGGTGCTGCTTGAGCAATCCTGGTGCCAATTCAGAACGTTGGGACGTATTAAGATAAAGACAGACCGTTGAGGATTCTTGGTCGGTTATTCGAAGATTCTTTGGTGGTCCCATCGATTGCCATGTTGCTCCCGAAGTCTTGGTCGAGTTTCGCATTCGAATTCTGAAGCGAGCTATTTTTGGAGGTGTCTAGAGACATGCTAAGAGAAAGCTCTTTTCAACGTTAAACAAATCGGCATGTTGCGGGAGACGCTCGAGATGTTTGAAGTGATATCGAGCAGATCTTGGCTCGTTTGGCGACAATCCGAGTTGCGAGGGCAATCTATTAGCTCAGCGCATGAGGATTGGGTTGTTCTCGCCAAAAAACTAAATTTTAAACGCACTTGATATTGATTCGAGGAAATTAACTTGGTACTACATCAGGCCACAAACATAAACCATGTCTAGCGTCTCACTTGTAGGATGTTCTACAAGATATGTCAACCCTATGTTTATCCCTGTACTTCAGCCTTACAGATTCTGCCTCGAAACTGCAGGGCCTAGCGACGGCAGTAGCATCGACCCTGGTGGACGCCGAATCTCAGTAATGGAGGTCCTCGACCTCACCTCGTCAACTCGACCCCGGGATAGACTGATACCCGGAACGATCCATTCACTGCAGCTGCATTGCATCCCTTGCCAGGCATATTTGCCTACATTTGTGTGGCACTTTGGACATACAAGGCGCCCGTCTAACTTGCCGTGCTCGAGCTCGGCTCTCATCCACGACAATGGGTCGAGGAAATAGTGGGCACAATCTTGGGGCGGTGACATCGGCGGACCCTCTGAGATCTCTCTGCTGGGGAGAGTCGAGATAGGATGCCGAATGATATATTGGGAAGTTGCTAGTGGCCGTCTGAAACCGTGTAAGCGCTCGGTGAGATTGGAGCGGCAAAGGTTCAACAGAGTGACTTAGGATTGAGGAAAAAATTAAGAAAAGCCAACATACCTGCATTTGCGGCATCTCAATTCGAATTCGGAAGTATCCTCATCGGTGTGTTCGTCCTCGAATCGGATTTTCTCTGCTTCCGGCGCTTGACCGCAAACTCGGCTCAGTTCTACTTCACGCTGATACACCCATCGCTGGTAGGCAGGAGTTTCTTCGACGTTATCTGGCGTTCGCATCTCACCATAAAGTTCCAACTGCTGCATGAAACCCCCGTTCGGTTCACACAGGGAACGTGCTTGCCGTATGTGAGACAACGCCTCGGAGGCGCTGATGTTGTGCTTTTGCATCAAATAAGCGATGACACATGTGGCCGATCGCGATTTTCCCATTGCACTAGAGAAAGAGCAAGGTTGGCATTCTGAGACGAGAGGCTGAAAATAATGGAGTGGCAAAGGAGCGGTGAGTGGAGGGGATAAAATTTCAGAATGCGGAAGGTTTGGAGAGAAGGAGAAGCCTGATGAAGGAAAAATAACAGGATGCGTGGACAGGGTGCGTAACGACATAACAAGACTACCCTTTCTTGAGGAAGGCTGCTAACAAGACATTCTGTGTTGTTGATTGAAAGTTGGATATATGGCTCAGCTGTTCTGGGATCTAGACTTACCAGTGTACAAGAACGCCACCACCACCATCAAGTCCATCTTGTATGAACTTGTTGGTTGTAGGGAAGTGTTCTAAGAGGTTTTCATCCTCTACATCGTCAATCTCGACAACCAGGTGTTTAAATGGGCTGAAGAGGCGCTGGTCTAGGGGCAAGCGCAGGACGGACAGGATGTGTGTGATGTTAGCCTGCTGGAGTGCTTCGCGCCGGCGCAAGGTGAAGAGCCTATGTGCTATTCGTCAGCCCCTGCTGCAGGTGACGCCAATATTGGTCGGAGGCGAGAGACGCATTGGATGTAGAGCGCGCGGTGTCACATACCCACCGATGTAGAGCTTCAAGTCGCCCGGAACTCTGTCAATGAGAGCCATAACGAATCAAAACAAGAGCTATGTGAGATCCGGCAAAGGTGCAGGGGTAGTATCGTGAGGTTGCCTGTTGCGATTATTGCTGGTCCCACGCCTGAGGTGACTGGTGGCTTTGTTTCAGTGAGGCTCCAAATTTTAGATTTTCGCCGAGGCTCTTTCAGTGTGGGCTCGAACACAATGGTCGAGGCAACGGTAGAATGACTGCTTTGGGACAACGGGAGAAGGGGTATCAAGGTCGGCGAGGTGGAATCAACGGTTAGTGTTTGATGAGACTGTCTAAGTTGTTCTGTTCGTATTGGATCGTGCACAGGTCCCTTAGTTTGGGGGAAAGGTCTGGTTGTCGCCCACACACCGATTCAAGCCACTCCAGCCCTACAAACGAGGCGATCCACAGCCGTGCCTGCACGCAACGACGCCCGCGCTCTGGCTGGGCCAGGGGCCGGCCAAAATGACACAGCAAAACCGGGAGACTGCACCGCCGCTTCCTAGATCTGTCTAATTGAAGCAAGAGTTGGTAACTTGATGCTGGAAGCTTGAAACAGGACCGGCGGCCTTTGCAGTGCATGCAGTAACGTGCTGATTGTGAGTACCTACCAAACGGGAATGAGTCTGCAAATTAGAATTTGCAACAGCGTCATTCATTTCCGCGGCTGGGCGCCGGCCGCATCCATCGTCATGCTCAACTGGCCAATCTATGCAGCGGCAGCGAGTCTCTGCCCCAACAGTTGGGACTCTGCAACTTTCAAACTCCATGTTGCATCTCGACAATACGCCCTGGGAAAGCGTCCAACTGGAAGCCTTTCCACCAGGATCCGTATCTTGGTCGATCGGTCGGTGGATCCAACGAAGGACTGGATCAGATGCACTGTTATCGAGGTCTCGAGGCTCAGGACCAGCACCGCTGTCGACACGTCCTCTTCGCCAATGCACTCCTTCCGCTCAGGGCATCGTTCCACCTAGGGTGGGCACGGAGAATTCTTCCCTGGCCGATAGTTTTACCTACTGGCAAAACAGGCGGGAGACGCTCGGGAAACGCCTTCCCTGATCTGTAGATCAACAGCGGCCGGCCGAAGGAGGGGCATCGGCAATGCAAGCGGAAAACAGAGTCTCTTGAATGAGGTTAGAAAATAGAGCGGCTGGCGACTGGCAAAAAGCTGCATGTCTCAGTGATCACATCTCTCCCGCAGCCGATGGACGGCGGCTGGCCTCGCACTTGCAGCGTCGCTGTAAGGCTGAGGAGACGCTTGGACCGGCCTTCCCGCTCTCCGCGTGTCGAATCCAATCGAGCTTGCAAACAGTCCTGCTCTTGCGCCGGCGCTGTGCTGCAGCACGACGCTGCAGAGGCTGCAGGACAAGGACAAGTCGTCAGTCAGATTCCGTGTGCCTCAGGCCTTTGCAAGCCCGCGCATTTTGCCTGCTCTGCTTCTGCGCTGAGCATCCAGCCTACCGGACCCCCGTGGGCCTATCTCACCAAAGCACCGCTGCTGTTGTTGCCCCGAGTCTGACGTCGTCGATCGCCTATCGCCTTGCCAGGCGCAATTATCACAACGGCTTGCAGGGCTGGCGGATGAGCGGGCTTTTTAGATTGATTACTTTGGCAAGGCCGCAGTTGGGCTGAGTGAGCGCCCGTCCCACGCTGCCGGAGAGCATCAAAGGCTGTCTGTCCCGCCGCCTTGAAACCTCCAGACTCGTTCAGAAGGTTTCTTGCACTCTCGACCAGGAGGGCAATGGGCGCGAGGACTTTTGGATGAGGTGCGTAGTGCCCGCCAGCGGAGGCCCTGAGGGCGGCAAATTCGCCGTGAGATCAGGATGCATCATTCGGCAGGCCTTCTGGAAAGCGTGTGCCAAAGAAGCGGTTCAGTGAGGGCTGCAGATGAAGCTCCGTGCCCTAACCCCTGCGACTCCACCAAACCACCCGTGCTAGATGGCATCCCACGGCCAATAGCCTGTCGCGGCTGCTGTCAACGGGTCTCTCGCTCGTCGAGCTGCCGTCTTTATGCTGAAGCGTCCCCCGTGGGATGTGAGCATGCTCTCCTCCACCACGCTGCCCTCAGCACCCAGCGTTCTCCCTCTCGTGTACTTCCTTTTGCATCCCCTAGGCCGATGCTTACGCATGGGCACATGCTGCTGGCCTCCTGAACCTGACCGCCGCCCATTTGGTACTTGTACGGCCTTCGAAACGAGTGGATCCAGTGTTGCTGCACTGCGAATGGCCGTTGGTGATACCATGCACCCGCCCTCGACGTCGACGACTGCAGGAATCATATGATCAGCTAGCCGCCCTGGGAACGCGCATCGTCGAGTCCTTCACGTCGTCTTCTTTGCGTGGCGGTGCACTTCAGCTCTGGAAGCAGGAACTATCGTAGGGCTGAACGACTAGTTCCCGCCGCATCACCATCTGGCATCACCACCCGAGCGAGCGCATTACCGCCACTCCCCAGCAATCCCCTCGGCCCAGCAGGTTCGCCGCACTTTATCTCGTCCAGCACCCGCCTGCACGCGCTGTACCCAATTATTCCTTGTGTTTCGGCTTCTCCGTGGCGCTCCTAACTTTAGCTTCTCTGGGCCCCCAGCGTCTCCGCGTCGATTGCCCACCGAAGGTGCTCTCCTTCTGCCATTGCCACATTGCAAGCCGCGAGCGCGCGCTGCTCTCAGGCACGTCCTCAGCTGGTGGCGAGCCCCTGTCTGGCCCTCTATGACCATGTCGCCCGCTAGTTCGACACCGTCTATACGGATATATGATTCTGCGTCTCTCCACCGCTACCCGCTGCCGCATCACCGCCGCCCGTCCTTCCCTACCCCCTCAGGTGCCATGGCCATTCCGCGAGCGCGTGAAGAAGTGCCCCCGCCTTTACCTCCTCCCCGTTACATCGGCGAGCTCAGCGAAGGTCAAGATCCCGGCTGGCAATGGGGTAACAGCAATGACGCTGGCTTTGGCCGCCGAGTGGAAATCAAGCCTGGCTCCAGCCTGCTGGGGGGAGCAGCTGGCAGCCGTCCGGTGCATGTGCGTACACTGGAAACGTCGGGAGACAGTGGCGAACGCGGGTTTGGTTTCCCACCGCGTGAGTCCTCGTCTCTCTCTTCGCGATCTTTTGACGACATGAGCTCCCTGGACGACCAAGAGCAACACAGCGACGAGGACCGCAACGGCCAGACTCGGCCGAAGCTCGCGAACCACAGGTGAGATCTGCTTCCCTAGGTCTGGCGAATGTACAATTCCGTACCACACCTACCTGTCTCAATGTTCGTGCGGGATATCATCTCGTGCCTTTTGATACCCGATTGCAGACCACTAACTTGGTGCCATGAGCGATAACAGATTCACCAGCGAGAGACAGCTTGGTCAGAAAGCCCTCGAAAGCTCCTCCCATGCCTACGACAAGCAACTCCTCTCCAAGATTGGAGGGCCTAACACTCCGACCAGAACCACAGCCCCGCCCCTTCTCTCCGCATCTGCGCAGGAAAGCGCAACTACCACGCACACGTCCTTCAGCAAACTCAATGGCCAACTGAAGCCGCTGTCGGTGCCCGACCACTTGCACCCCTCACTTGATTCCCCCATATCGAGGTGGCCGCCGTCGGGCGCCATTTCCCCCGGATTTTCGGGTTTCCGGAGTCCAGTATTTGACCCAGGATCTGCCGACTTTCATCAGCGAAGGTTCGGCAGCATATCCACCCCGGGTGCCCTGGATGACACCGCTTCTCAGCACCATCGCGGAAGCTACGATCACAGCATGTTCTTGGAGGCCGAATTTGGGGTTGAGGAGGGCGGCATGCGTGACCTGAATATCAACGACCGCAGCCCGTCAGGCTCTGAGGAGTCCCAAATGGGGCCAAAGGCAGGGCTAAAGCGACGTGCCTCCTCGCCCCCCTCGGAAGCAGCTCGTGAAGATCGGCCGACGGCGAGTGGCGGCAATACTGACTTGTATCACCGCCGCTCGGCGCAAATGCTGGTCAGCCGCAACTCGCCAGTGTCGCGCTTCCACGCCAACCAAGGGTCCCTTTCTTCAGCCTCATCTCTAAGTCAACGCACTGCATCGATTGCCTCCTCGTACGGCTTGTCTACCGCCAGCAGCGTGACCAGTTACAGCGGGGAAGTGCAGCGCCTCTCACCGAGTGCACTGTCCCCCTCGGCGGAGGCGGAATTAGGCCCCGTTTCTCCATATGCAGCTAGTCGGTCACTTAATCCCAGCCCGCGTGGTTCATTATCGAGACCACACCACCAACGCGGTCTCTCTGAGAACGAGCAAGCCCAAATCCGCAAAATGTCTACGGACAGTGTACTTCACTCCAGACAAAGCTCGGTGTCTAGCCGGCTGCCCGGCGCCTATATCTGCGAATGCTGTCCTAAGAAGCCCAAAAAATTTGACAGTGAGGAGGAACTTCGGTAAGTGTCGCCTGAGACATCCCCCACCGCCATTTCCCTATCTCTATTGCACGTGCAGGCTGACGGTCTGCGCCCAGAATTCATGAGCTAGAGAAGCAGTACACCTGCCAGTACTGCCCAAATCGATTCAAGAACAAAAATGAAGCCGAGCGTCACCAGAATTCGTTACATCTCCGCCGTCATTCGTGGTCCTGCGCTGCCCTGGCAGGCGTGCGTGCGGCATTCCACCCCTCTCCCACGCACTCTACCGTAGCCGATATCTGCGGTTATTGCGGTGAGGAGTTTCCCAATCCCGCGAATTGGGATGTTCGGTCCGAGCACCTTAATCACGTGCACAAATTCGGCGAGTGCAATCAGGCGAAGAAGTTCTTCCGTGCCGATCATTTTCGGCAACACTTGAAGCACAGCCATGCAGGCACGAGCGGGAAGTGGACTAATATGCTCGAGAATGCTTGCATGAAGGACGAACCCCCACCGAAAGACCGTGTCGGCTCGGTAGGCTCCATTGCGGTTTCCTCTGCCATGGGCTCCTTAGCTCCGAAACCTGGCGTTATTGACGAAGAACATGATGAATCATGAGGCGTTTGGGGGCTTGGGAATCGAATTGAGTTGAGCGTAGCATTCAAGCATCACTGGTCGCGGACGGCATTTCCTGCCTTGATTTCCACAACATTCTCGTTTCAGCGTCCTGCTGCAGAGCATATTTTTCATGATACACCGCTCTTGAAGTGGGTCAGAGCTGCCTCCATTTTGCCCTGGAATTTGCATTTGCCATGTCCTTCCTCAACAAAATCCCCAGAGTTGCGTTGCACTGCCTTCTTTGGGCGTCATCTTTTTTAGCTCTGCAGAGCTTGCTTTTTTTTTAGTACCACCTCAAATGCACTGTTCATGACCTTGATGACGGCGTTTCTTTCATGGGGCCGCTTCTGGATGTCGAAGCATATCACGGAAACGAGACAGGTGCAGACCGCTTCTTTGACATCTTTGCTGGAACTAGGCAGAACATCAACAATATGGAGGCGCCTGCCACACATTAGACCCTTGTCTTGTTTCTGTGTTTGTGCGAGCATGCAGTATGTTTCTTGGGCATAAGTTCTTCTACCGGAATGGTTGGTGCATCTTGCCGGTGTCTTTGGTGGGCGCCAATTTTGACAGGAAGCCTCCCTGTTGAACTTGTTTTCTTTTCTTCTCCTGTCAACTTGTCACTCCATTCGATGCTGCTGTTTTGGCCTCTTGGCCGTTGCAGCACCTTTCTTCTATCCTATCATCCTACAAATCGCGTAATCAAAATCAGAGTTTCCGAGGTACTTCAAATCTCTTCTTGTCTCATGACTGCTATCCCATGACTGTCAGCCGACCCAATAGCAATACATCAAGATTATTTACAGTTTCGCCCTACGAGCAGCACAACAGCGCCATGAGGGTCGACAGATATTTTCGGCTGCTAGATCGGGTCATTACTGTAGTCTCACCAGAACGTAATAGATGCCTTCCTCAGCCTTAGTTCCACTCTTTTGATAGGCTAGCCTTTACCACCGATGGAGCAAGTGCATCATACGAGATCACATCTTGTGAAACACTGAGCGGCGCAACACTCGATTGAGATCTCTTTGACCCTTCGTATCCGACCATAATCTCCGCTGTCTAATACTAATTATCAATGCAAACAGTCAGACTTCTCCCCGTAGCTTTGACCAAGAACCCCACACACGCGACGCACACACGCCCGTCAGCCAGAACCTTATTCTCGGGGTCTCTGATGTGTACCCCAGCTTTGGGCTTACGGCGAGAGTGCGGCAAGTCTTCTTGATAAACGAGGACGGAAGACATGGGTCTGCGTTCCTATATTGACAAGTTAAATTCCAATAATTTTTCCATTCATCGGCGGTTACACGACTTCTCATTCGGGTCCATTGTAGAAATGTCTCAGATATTATATTTTAATTATGCGATTTTACGCATGTTTAATATGCACCGAGGTCCTTTCAGGAAAGCTGGATTTGGGAGCATTGAATGTTGGCTAGAATTGGACAGAGTAACATTGAAGCTCGAGCTCACTTCTGCTTTTTTACGCCATACGTCATTGCCACCTGGGTTGTAAAATAAAGAAAGGTCAATGTCTTTCTGACTGGACTTCCCCTTCTATCAACGAACGTAAGTAATCAATCTTGCTTCAGATCAGGTCTGTAGGAGATGCCGAGGTGGAGGAGAGAAGCATTTCTATTCTAGTAAAGCCTCAAGAACCATGATAATTTGGCATCTTCATCAACCGGCTCCACAAAGCCCTAAAAGGGACCTACCTTCGCTCTTCAATCTCACCGACCGCGCCGCACCGTTACATCACAGCAGGTTGCGCGCCAAGACAACGTAGCCAAACACCATCCACCATCCGCTGCCATTCAGACTTACCAACCCAACCTTTGCAAGTCTCAGTGACCCTCCCAACGCCACGACTCGAACGCAGGGCCACAAGCGTGCAGCTGCAGCACATTAGACCTGTCAAAGACGTATTTGCAGACTAGCGCTTATGTCATACTTTACCATAAGTTCCCCACTCCGCCCGTCGTCTTTGCACTCTCGCTACCAATCTTTTATCAAGGTCCCGGCCCGGCTAGTGGTCGAGTAGCGAGTAATAGTGAACCCCAATTAAACCGGAGGCATGTCTTTGGACAAGCTGTTTGCTAGGCAAAGTCGAGCTGTCGAGCTTAAGCTTCGCTTTCACTCTCTTTCGCTCCCCACATCCCGTAATTGATGGATAAACAGGACTGTGAGCGTTGCGCAAAATATGCAAGCACAATCTTGGCCGGCTGAGTCCTCATGTAAGTGATGCATGTACCATTGACCTCCAAACTCTCCACTAAGTATATGTGCGTTTGAACAAGACGGGAGATATAGAACACCCGAGCAAGCAAGCGGCGCGCATGCCTCGTTCACGCAGTCCGGATAAGGTATCAGCGAGCGGACCAGTCAATTCTACTACGCATCTCAGGCAAGCAGGACAAGAGCACGGCATGGGCTAATGTACATCGAAGGGTCGGGACGGACGATCATGGGTGGCTGGCTTTTCTTGGACGGCCGCTTCGCTCGCTCGCTCGCTCATCCATTCGATGTTGTATCTTGCGTATCTTCCGTAGCACTTGTTTCATTCGGTTTCCTGAGGGCTGAACGGACTTTGTGAGAGGTTGAGAGTCTGAGGAAAATTTTCTTCAAAGATCCGGTGTATTGAGATAGACTGTCAATTGATTGATATATACTTCCCTGGCTTCGTCTCGACAAGCAAACGGGGCGCCAGAAGAGCGCAAAATCTTCCTGACAGGCTTCTTACTAAATCTCTAGAAAAGACAACCAACATCCAACAGACGCGTGCCGTTCTAGGTATGAAGTTATCCCGGTCCACGTCTAAATTGTCCGTTAAGATGGAAAATATCGTTCCCTTAACGGCATATGTGATGCGAGGTAGTGTCGCTTCCCCGCATGTTTTCTCTATTTTGAGCCTGATGTTCTTCCTTCGTCTAGATATTTTGCTTGGCGGAAGGGTCTTCGATTTGTCTCCTCAGGTGATCGCATGAGATTTTGCCGGTATTAAACTACGATGTTCAGGGCCAGTGGTACAGAGGCATAGGTTCGATCCCGAAGATCATGGAGGGGGAGTGTGGCCGCGTTGGGCGTTTGCTGTAGGCTGAAGGAGATAGATGGTCTGAGAATAGATCCAGGATGGACGACGCGATATAGTTCCAAGGTTCGAGTTCTTTTGTATCCTGAATTATGTCATGTTCAGTTAGTCTTTTCTTCGAGAGGAGCGCTATCAAAATTCCTTTGCCATCTCCATTGCGTGTTCCGGGGCTCCTGGAGGCCTAAGAGGTGGAGGCAATATGACTATGTCTTGTTACGCGATACTCCAGGTAATACTCTCGACAGTAACATGTGCTATGATATCCCGAGATTCGAGTTTGGGGAAGGAAGTGATGGGAAGGAGACAAGGCTAGAGGGGACCTCCGAACCGGGGGCGTTGTTGGAGTCACAATCAGCAGATTGCTCCTCGTCGTTGGTAATCATGTTCGCAGGGTTGCATTTCGGACTTCGCTGCGCCCCTGGGAGGAATGAGGCGCGCCTGAAAGTTGGTAAACTGGAAGCCCCATAAAGAGAGTTCTCTTTCATGTCCAGCGGGATTTCCGTGCTTGTTGTTCCTTCCCTATCTATCTCGAAGGATGATGGATTGTGGGACCCTTCGTCAGTGCATTCACGTGCTTTCGTCGTGTTCGGGAAACCAGACGAGTAAAAACTGGAAAGTAGACGAACAGGGATAACCGACACAACGACCTCACTTCTTGCAGTGGTACGTACCGGTATCAGCTCTCCCCTCGATAGGAATTTCGATCACGCAACTAAAATGAATAATCACGAGAGACTGGCTTGACTCAGAAACTCAAAGGAGCATGAGATGTCTCGGCCCAGCGTCAGAGAAAGAAAGGTACCCGATAACAACTCCGTGCCGACGAATCGGCGAGCTGCCGATTCTCGTGATTTAGTTCTTGCCGACATTCAGAAGCAGACAGACTGGACCGAATCGCTACCCCTTAATTTGAGCCGAGGCGTGGCAAACGGAAGTCAAAAAGGGCGCTCATACCCCAAGCCCCACAGCAACTTTAGCCGACTGTGACCCTAGAGACGCCGACTAGGACGCGGTCCGATGGGGCTTGAAATTGGGCACTTGGAATGAAGTGTGAAGCTCCGTGCATAAAAGCAAACGGATTCGAGGTTTCCAAGTAACGCCACATATCGTGAGCAAGGAACATGAAATGGAGGCACTACGAATGATCAAGATTTCTGATAGCATATAACCACCACAAATGGGATATCTGAAGCTCAAAGAAGGAGTGGAACAATAGTAGAACCCACCTAGTATAACTACACTAGGAAACTTTATCAGACCACCCCGACCTTCTGGACAGTTGTGGGTCTGAGGATAGGACTTCTTCCAGATGAGAGCCATATCCTTCATAAACCTACTCGTGGTACTCGGGAACCGAGATGATGAGGTTCAGCGGAATTACACCATCCCCGACCGCCATTTCGCTTGTGCATGAGGCACTGACACCGATGAGGGGTCACGAGTTTCCCCGTCACAAATGTGCCTTTCCTCGTATCTCGGAGCTGCAGCCCAATGATTCCGAATGGGCGCATTTTCAGGGTGTAAATTTGGGGACCCTATTAAAGACAGGCACGACGTCTGTTTGAGATGTGTAGGGGCGGATTGGCCCACAGTCAGAGACCGGGACGTTGACCGTTGTGTCAAACAATGTTCGAGTAAAGCCCACAGCAAGCGAATCATCACCCGGCCGCGCTTAAATGCATGCTAGAGCATACCGCCGTACGTTGAAGCGGAGCGAATTAATCCATCGGCCTGTTCGGAAAGGTTAAGGAGATAGTGGGAGTAAAGTCCTTCGACTGTGGCTTCGGGATCCGGCCACGTTCTAGTTAAAGTGCAACTATCCATGTTGTTGCGCTGTTCTGTAGATCTTAAGCGGCTATCCCACCCTCGCTCATCCCACAGTTTTATCAGAACAGGAGAGTGATACAGACATTCCAGTCAGGAAGAAACAAACGGTCTTCTGCAGCTGTTGTCCGATTTTGAAGTAGATCACGAGAAAAGAATGAGCACGACTATGAGAGGACAACGCGAAGACTGAGATAGCGCAGGATTCTCCATTATCTGACGGCATACTAAGAAAGGAAGGATTGGGCGAAAAGGATTTATTTAACCCAAATGATTGATCCCTGCCTTTGATGTGCGATTCCCACTGGGTGATCGCGACGTGACGCAGATGCAACGAGCCTTACACCAAATGCAGAGAATACAAGTTGTAACGATGGTTGGGCTGCATTAGGACTGGCTGTATTCGCTCTCGTAGCTCCCCAGGGTATAAGCGGTGAGAAAGGTCGACATGCTGGCCATTGGCAGGACTGCCAAGGCGGATCCAAAGTCATTTGGCCTGACTGTGCGTGCTGTGCAGGTAGCCCCTTTGCCAATCGCTTATCATGGCATCAGCAAGGGATATGCTGAGGTTGCGGACGCTGGAGTTCGAGCAAATGGTAGCGGGCTCTAGCTCCTGCATTCCGCGACCGTCATTGACTCACCTGATGGGATGCGAGTGCAGGAAGCGGGCATCGGATTCAGACGCGGATTTGAAGCGAAATAAGCGCAGAATGCAAGTCATCCCCACAAGAGGCATTGGGGGAAAGATGATTGTGGGAATTCGAGGAACGGTCATTATTAGGGCATCAGCGGAACCCAGGACCCACTTTCAAAAAAATTCCCGGGAAAGATCTATAGAGAGTATCAGCTGCTGATAAAAGCCTGCTAAGCTAAAGGCAAAATAAGTGTCGAGGTAAGGATTTTGAACACTTAAGGATCCTCAAAGATCACTCCAGTCTGTGGGAACTTCCCAAGAGTGTGGTCAGAAGACTCGTCTGCACCTCGATTGACGAGTGCAGAGTGCGCTTAAACTGATTAATTGCTAGAAACGGAACATTTTCCGTGGTGCGCGCGATATTGTACCATTTGATTCCACGGTAAGCACGTCAAGATTTCGGCCGCTAATTGCTGACTGCAGGTTGAAGTCGCTGAAGGAATTTGAGGGCGAGGGGCAGTAATCGGATCGTCGGCTGCCCAATGCGAACCAGGAGGAGAACGTGATGCCAAGACCAGTTTCCCCGCTTGAAGTTGAAGCGTCCACACAGCTCTCGATCTTGCGGGAAATGTGGACGAGACTAAAATCCAAGCGTAATGTTCGCATCGTGATGTTTTACATCTTCAGGGGTTTCCGCTTGGTACTGAAGGAAAGTTCGCTGGGTTCTTTAGTCTCTCGCGATTCCGCTTCGCAACCTCAGCATTGTGTATCCGATCAACCCGCATTTGGTAGAAACTCCTAGTGGAATTTAATTAGTTGATAGGAGGGAACAACATCATGACAACATACTTGTTCAGTGAGTAGATGCGAGGCTCATCTGACGCTGACGATGAATCATCTCGTGACTTCGAGAGTTCTTTGATCTAATGATCACAATGGTTAATAGCTGTTCTTACATCATGGAGTTAAGATATTCTTACACTGTCGTCCTTTGTCGTCTCATCATCCTTGTCCTCTTCTGAGTCTTGCTTCTTCGAGTCTTTGTCCCTATCCCTATTCTGATCTTTCTCCTTACGCCTCTCAAGCTTACTTTTTTGCCTCTCTGCGTATTCCCTCTTCACTGCCTCGATCTCTCGATCTAGTTCCTCTTTTTTCTTTCGAGCAGCAGCCGCTACAACCTCGTCCGCGTCGGGTTGGCAAAATTTCCCGTCCTGGAGATGGCCAACACATATATAGAAGAAGTCCTACCAAAGCGTAAGCTACAGCATATGCTGTACTCTCTATCGATTATCCTACCTTATTATCTGGGGTAATGAGAACACTTGTCGACGGCTTGTAGCAGATCCAGCACGCCTTTGCAGAGCCGTCTGCAACGCGTCGGTGATGCCACACGTTCTGTAGCGACATGTTCGATTCTCCTTATCTACTCAGTTTGGAGAGTTTGGATGAAAAGGGACGAGGGCGGACAAAAAATAGCCAGGATCGATTGCGTCGTATGAGGTGGTAAGGCGGATTCGGAGCCTGCTTTGTCCGACTTCCATAAGCTCTGCAACATTTGCAAGTTTTGCCGAGTCAAGCATGATTCAATCCCTCGCGATGAAGGGTTGGATTAATTCTCATAGACTAATTACAGACATGATTTCCATGACGATAAGCCCTAATCGTCGATAGTCTGGCACGTCGTTGATTTAAGGGCCTGGGCGTAAGGCTGAAGGCGAACGAGGCAAGCCATTTGCGCTAGTATACATTTAGCTAGCTTAGCCGCCATGACATCTAAGAAACTTCGTCAACGCCGACTTCTCCCTTCAATTTTCATCCTCAGTATCACATGTCCCTTGCCCTGTGTAGACTGAGGCCTAACAGCAAAACTTGCTTACAACCACTAACTCTTCGCTCACCAGATCCTATCCTTCGACTCTCATTCGACCAAACCCCGCGAGGAAACTTTTTCAGTTGGTCTCCTCCAGTTGTAGCCTTCTCTAAGTTAATATTCCCTGGTAGTTCCTAGCTTCGAGGCTTCTAAGAGTCCCGGAGGCGCTTCCGTGATGACTAGTGATGAAGGGAAACTGAGATACGTTGACGTCAGTGCACAAATTCACGTCATTCCTAATGACTCTAATTAACACCGAATTCAGATTGGCATCAACTTGGGGGATCCCGTATTTCGAGGCGAATATCACGGGGTCAGGAGACACTGCAACGACTTTGACGATGTTCTTCAACGAGCCAAGGATGTTGGCTGCAAAAAGTTTATGGTGACTGGTTCCGATCTAAAAGAATCAGAACATGCCGTCGAAATAGCGAAAACATACCGTAAGTCAGAATCCACCGCTTCACTTGATATTTCCCTGACATCATTATGCAGCTGGAATATGCTACGCTACAGTTGGCGTCCACCCCTGCTCCGCAAAACACTTCGATTCTTTTCCAGGAGGCCCTTCCACCCTTCTGTCTGCCATCCGTGATCTAGCCCAGAAAGCCAAGAAATCAGGAGCAGCTGTCGCATTTGGAGAGATTGGTCTTGACTACGATCGCTTATTCCTGACTCCAAAAGACCAGCAGTTGAAGTACTTTGAAGCCCAGCTAGAGATTGCGGTTGAGGTGCAACTCCCTCTATTCCTCCACTCACGAGCAGCAAGTGAAGACTTTGAGCGATTACTAGTGGCAAAACTCCCCCAGCTACCAAAGAAAGGCCTGGTTCACAGTTTCACTGGGACAGTGGAAGAGATGCAACGTATAATCGAGATGAGGCTTGATGTTGGAGTCAATGGGTGTAGCATGAAGAGTAAGAGCTCTCTATTCCCGTAGATTATCATTTACTAAGCCAAGCCTTCAGCGGAAGAGAACGTTGAGGTAGTCAGGCAAATACCCCTTGAACATCTGCAGATTGAGACCGATGGACCTTGGGTACAGCAATAAAATTTCATATATCAATACGGAATACTAACTTTAACTCCAGTGTGAAATGCGTCCCAGTCACGCCTCGGCACAATATCTTATTGGCGCACCTGCCCTACCGAAAGCTGTGAAGAAAGAGAAGTGGAGCAAAGGGCTCATGGTCAAGGGCCGAAATGAGTCTGCGACAATACCGCACGTCGCGTACGCGATAGCAAAGATTAAGGACGTGACTGTGGAGGAAGTGTGCGAAGCGTAAGTAAACCTCGTACGCAACTCTCATCATGCGTTGTTAATAGATTGACAGCGCATGGCGCAATTCAATTAAGATGTTTGGGCTCGGAGAGACGGTTGAGTGAAATGACCACATTCCTCTGACTATACAATCATAGCTCCCTAGTCATTCTTTTCTGGGACTGAACTACGGGTTCTATTGTTGTCTAGTTGAAAACGCCGACTATCTCGAAACTAAAAGAAGCATAGCGAGTATTGATACAGCTAAAGCATATAAGTTTAAGAACTTACAAAACAACGTCTAAATCTAAGCTTAGCAGAAAAGTTTCATATATAAAACAATACGGACTGTTACTACTCTATAATCATCTCTACGTTATTAGCATCCTCGAATCATCTAAATATATATAGGCTAACGTAGTTTATAAGCGAGCTGTTACGGTCCCTAAGTGGACCATAAGCGAGTGTCAAACGGCCACTAGATTATATGATGACCAGTAGTGGAACTTCTTCTTGGCAGCACAAGAAAGATCACGTGACATCCACGGACGAATACAGACCGAAGTTGTGCGGACGGAGCAGCCACCTGTAACGGCTCCGGGGGAATGTTGCCTACAGTAAAATGCGCGCAGCGCACGCTGTGCATGCAGTGCGCGCAGGGCAAAGCAGCACGCACAGAACGCGCAGAACGCGCAGAACACGCAAGCACTTATGTATATAGTCTTAATGTTAACTATTACTAGAAAGGCTGTAATTAACGTTTAGTCTTTTCTTTTACTATAGACTAAGTAGTATTAGTGGTTTTTAAAGACACTATACTATTATATATCCTACTTATATATACTCTAACTATTATTTTTCTAAGATCATTTTCCCTGCTTCTTATACAGCAGCTAAGAGCAAACTATAATAAGCGAACACCTCTAAGACTCTTATAGACTGCAACCTAGACTGTACACCTATGTTGCTATCTATTCTTTTAACGCTATCCTACCTTTACACCTAGGCCTGCGTAACTAAATAAGTACAAGCTGTTCTATAGACAGTCTACTTAGTAATGTAACGATTCTACGAATCGTTCCATCTCGGGTCGCTCGGATCCTATCCGAAGGGTCCCCGTATC